GGATTGTATGAATGACAAACAAGAAAAAAAATTACACCTAAACAGAAAACAAAAATGGCAGAGATCAATTGAGGTGATCATGGCATGAAAGAATATGATTTTGGACAATTAAAAAAAAAAAATAATAATAATGGTAAAGACATGCACATTTTCACCTTTCTTTATAATCTTAAAGACCAACTCCAGCCAAAGATTTTCATTTAGTTTTGGACAGAGCGGTGGAGATATAGACTGTGTCAGGTTTTTATTGTGCACTAGGGATATTGCTCTAAACTTCCTATCAAGACAGGAAGTGATGGGATATCTCTGCAGCCGGCACACAACAAAAAAAAAAACAGGAGCAGGGAAGGGTTAGTACTTGGGACAGTGTTTTCATTGTGGTCCAGGGGTGTCACAGGGGTAGAAAGAGGGAAAAATCTACCTAATGGGTCACAAACAAAAATACAAATCTGCAAATTACTCTATCCCACGCTATTAAAAACTTTAAAAAAATGGGCTGGAGTTGGGCTTCAAATACATATTTTCCCACCACCATGCTAAAGAAGAAAAAAAAATGAACATAAAAGACTATGTGGCACATTGACATTCAGACATTTGCGCTGTGCTGGAAACACCATAAAACTTGTGTTAAAGCTGAAAATGGTAAAACTACCCTTGCAATGGGGCTCCCCCTGTGCTGAAAGGGTTAAATGCTTCCGCTCTCATCTTCCCTAAGGCGCTCCAGGTTGTGGGCGGGCCCTAGGTGACCTCACTTACAATGTAGGACTGCTGGTCCTGCATTGTACATGATGGCGTCAGTGTGACCGTTGGCCGGAGTGCCTAAGAGAGGCACCTTCAGGGCTGGTCGCATAAAGAGAGGAGCAGCATGCGGGTGCAAGGGATAAGGTACACAAAACTGCTTTTTAAATGGTACCCAAGACAATGGAGCTTTTAACCCTTGCACTGCAAGGGTAGTCTTAAAATTTCCCCAAAGTTCAGCTTTAACCTAAATAAAGCGTGCAGTGTTTGGTGTTTAGCGCAAGTCAGACAGTTAAGAAAAAATGTATCATCTCCATATTGATTTTACAAGCACAAAGATGCACTTACAGAATCACATTTCCTGATTGAAGAGCACGCCCCAGTGGCCAATGCTGTGAATAAAGCACGGGCACCCTGGGGCGGACCAGCAAGCAGCCAGAAGCACAGGTAGTGTTGCTCATTTGCGGGCACATACACAAGTCAGAGAGGTTTATAACACATAAAAGCAAAAGCAGCAAGATAAAGTGCACAAACAGAACATCTTACAACAATTATACACCGATTAACATGTGTACTATAATTCCAAACTCTAATAGGATGTATGGAATTTTGGAAACATTAGCCAACAGCATGCTCACTTCCGGTCATATGTACTGAAAGCAGTGTTAATCGGTGCTGCAGTGCAGATCAAAACAACGTGATAAAAACGTCATTTTAAGAAAGTCCAAATGTGATATTGTGTTAAGGTTTCTGTCTGGCCAAAATCCTTTTTTAAATAGGCTAGATTAGTGTAGGTTTAGAACCCCTGCCAGGTTTCTAATGCTTAAAGATACAACTATAGGGATGCACCAATATCAATACAAGTATGGCTGCCGATACAGAATATTTGGGAAAGTACTTGTACTTGCCCAAATGCTCCAATACCTGAACGTCTGGTCAGAGGGAACAAAGGGTAATGACTAGCAGCCCACCTTCCCGATTGGCTAGGAAGACGACCTTCCGGGCGATGATGCGCATGGAGCCGGCTTCCTAAATTAGCCGGGAAGCCGGCTCAATACTGGATTGGCTGGGAAGCCGGCTTCCCGTGCAATCAAGCAGCCCGGCGGCAGGTAATGACACGCTGCCCGGCTTCCTGATTGTGCGGGAAGCTGGCTCCATGTACTGGTATTAGTACTGGTGAGTACCGAAATATAAATATTGGTACTCTTAACCAAAAAAAAAAAAAACGGCATTGGACGCTTCTTGGATAAAAGGTCAATCTTTTACCGACGTCACGAATGCAGTAGTTCAAATCCAACAAACAGGTGGAATGATGTCTGGTTTTTGCATTCATGACCTCGGTGAAGGACGGAGGTTTTATGCAAGAAGTGTTGGCTCTTTTTCCAGGTTTATTATGGCATCAGAACTGGCTGTACACCTTTCATGGGCTGCGCACCCAAAAAAAAAAAATATATAAAAACTGGTCAGGACTTATGTGTATTTCAACCCCCGCATACAGAAATGTGTTAGAAAAGCAATTACAGTCATGCTATACATAGTTTTCATTACAGCTAATATTTAACTTCCTAATACTTTTTAAAGCAGAACTGCAAGCAACATTTTTGTATGAACCCTTGCAGCGGGGCTACCCCTGGACTGCAAGGGTTAAATGCTTGTTTTGGTCTAGGGAGGAAGAAATATATATATATATATATATTTTCACCTGATCCTCTGAGCCAGCCAGCCGCGACACCGCTCCCTCCAGCCTGTCTTCTCCTCTGAGCAGTGATGGCATTTCCCTTGGCATCCTCACGTCCTATACGCGGTGTATAGAATGTGATCGCTCAGGCACCTTAGACTGTTGCAGCGGAGGGACAGTGAAGCTGGAAGGACCGTTCAAAGTGCAAGCCAGCACAGAGGATCCGGTGAGTATAGCCAATTTCCTCCCTAGACCAAAATGTGCAGTTAACCCTTGCAGTACGGGGTAGTCACTCTGCAAGGGTAAATACAAATTTTGCCCAGAGTTCTTCTTTATTAGATGCCAAACCTATTGTGGCTTTTAAGCAGAACGCACTGTTATAACAGGCACCGTGCAGTGCTGAAACACTATAGTGTGGCTGGCGGTCTGTTAGTCTTAATCTGGTTTCGACTGCTCATGGAATGCACAGTGCGAGGAGGCCACCATGGGAAGAAGGCAAGTTGTATACTGGGATGAGGTGTTTCCTCTTAAATCAATAGTCTGCCCTACCCTGTAGCATGTTTTGGCCGGGGGGGGGGGGGGG